TGTTTTATGGATTCCATTTATTTCCTATGTTGGGATTCCATCATGTTCCTGAGCTCCTCTCTAGATTTATTAATCATGTCTTGCACTAGGAGCACGATCTCTGCTGTTATCTGAGAAATTATTTCTGATTTCATTTTTCCAGATTCTCTTCTGCTGCCAGTTCCAGGGAGTCCAGGTGGTTGAGTATCAGGGTATTCCATCTCGTTTCTCTTTGGGGTTGCTGTAGGTCATCTGGAAGTCTGGTTTTGATACTTGTTTACCTGTCTTCTCATTTCGATGGGGGGTGGGGTGGGTGCGGCTCATCTCCTCTGTGCTGGCGGGGGTGGTACGGTGGTCTGGAAGCCTCCTCTTCTGTGCAGGGAGTGGCTTACCTCCTCTGTCCTGGCAGGTTTGGTACAGCAGCCTAGAAGCCTCCTCTTGTGTGCTGGGAGCAGCTCACTTCCTCTGTGCTGGCGGGGATGGTACAGTGGCCTGGAAGGCTCCTCTTGAGCGCTAGGAGCAGCTCACCTCCTCTCTGCTCGCGGGGCCACTATGGTTTTGATTTGCATTTCCCTGATGGTGAATAACGCTGTGCTCACAGACCACTTCTATATTTCCTTTGCAGAAATGTCTCTTTAAATTCTTGTCTACTTTTAATTAAACTATTTATCTTTCTACCACTAAGTTATAAAAGTTGACCCTTGTGATTTTAAAAGCTTCAGCCAAAAGTATGTATTGAGTACATAGAAGAGTTCATCACAAGTAAAAGTAAAGGCCTAATTTAGATCATTCATACATAATTTAGTCTTTCCAGATCTAGTAAAGCAGTAAAGATCTACTACTCTGGACATGACATTAAATTCACATTTTCCAAGTCTTCAAGTACCATCTCAATAGCAAGTGACTGTAATAAAACAATGATCCTGTACCTTTCTCTAAGTATAACCAGCACAGCCAGAATGTCTGGACTCAAATTCCACCTCTACCATGTACTTACTGTTTAACCCTGAGCTCATCTTTCAACTTAGTCTTCCTCATCTGAATAATGGGAATGACCATAGTAACCCTACTTACAGGGCTGCTGTAAGGAATAAGGTATATGACTGGCACACAGGAAACACACAATACATGTCAAGGAGGAATGGACAGAGTACTGCTACCGGTGTTTTCCAATACCTGAGTCAGTCAGTGCAAGCAGGCTTCTATAGCTAGCAAGAATTACTTGAAGAAATAAACAGTTACCCTTATTTTCTCTGGCTGAGACTCTTCAATAATCACATTACTTGTGGGCCAAGTTAATACTCCAGGGAGACGATAAATCAAGGTTTTTGCTTTCTCAAAGTGAGTGAGAGCTTCTTGAAATCTATTAGGGAGAAAAAGGAAATTAAAGACATGACATGATTTTTTTTTTGCCACAACAAAAGTTACAAGATAGGAAGCTTATAGGAAGAGCTCACTCGATAAATCACTAAATAGAAACATTCATTATAAGTTGTAGTTTTGAAAAAAATGTTAAGGCATTATTGCTGTTTGCTATTAGAGTAATATAAACTAAATACAACTCTGTCCTGGACTTCAGCTTGATCATGGTAAGGTATGCAGTACTTATTCTGAAGTTGTAACTGTTCTACTCAGCAAAAGAACCCTCAAGTCCTGGATTATAGGACTAATCAAGTCTTTATTCATTTCTGAAGACAATACACAGGTTTCATGCTTTCTCCAAAACTGAAATAATTTACCAATTTAAAAATATGCTTTTGGGGCCGCGGATTTAGCTCAGTGGTTCCGCCACCTGCCTTGCAAGCGCAAGGACCTGAGTTCGATCCCTGGTACCAAAATAAAACAAAAAACAAAACGCTTTTATCTGTAGGTATAGGGTCATGTGAAGAAAAGCTAAAACTATTATCAGCCATAAGACAGTTATGAATAGCAGCACTTTGAACCCGAAATTGCACATTACAATGCCAAAAGCAGCATATTAGACAATTAGCACTCACCGTATTATTTAGAAATTAGAATGAAATGCCTTTAACATGGCAAAAAAGCCTTCCATTTATCACAATGTCTATAGTTTTACATACTATATTACTTTCTTAGGCCTTGAGAATATCTACATGTAATCACTGCATTAAATAGGTATATCCTAAACAATTTACAGTACACTTCAAAATTAATTTCATTTGCTATTACAACAAAGTGACTTCTGAATTCTTACTTTCCCTGCATCTGCCTTATCCTTAATATAGTTCAGCCTAGACAGACAATAACTTCATGAAGTGAAAGAACTTTCTTTAATCTTTAAAAATCTATAAAAGAGGTTGTAGGCATACTCTAAGATTGAGTTCCCAAGAATCTCATAAAACACTCCTTACAAAGTAAGATGAAAATACAAGAATAATTAAAAGTTATGAATGATGATCAGTCACAATCATTTCTTTACAAAGTAACCAAACACACCTATAACTATATTCAATGCAATTGGCCAGAACAGGAATTTCTTTTTTATTTTTTTTAATTTTATTTTATTTTTAATTTTATTTATTCACTTTTCTC